ATATAAAATATTAAATATTTTGTATAAATTATTACAACATTTATGCTCATAAATATTTGATATTTTTATATCAGAATAAGTTTAAATAGAAAATTAATCAATAATCATATTTATTACTTTGAAGATTTTTATTTTATAGTTTTCTATAAAAATTTAAGATTTATTTTAATTTCATAAAATATTAATAATCAAAATTTTCTACCATATGTGATTATACTTACAAAATTAAATATATATCCAATCCTAATAAAGAAATGAGTATTTTTAGATATTAACTCTCAAATTTATTTTATAGGGAACTTGATTTATAAATTCATTCTTTTGATTCTATAGATATTGATTTGAATGTTATTATAAGTTTATTAAGAATTTTATGCAAGGTTCTTCGAAATATTAAAGCTGGGTTATTAAAAATGGGTATAGCTCAATGTTAAGAATTAGAAATTCTTAATATAATTTACACTTTAAATTTCACTATACAAGATTCTTAATAAATTAATCTTCAGACCAGTTTAAAGATAGAGATGGATGAATCAAAAGGAGTTTTAAAGTTCTCATTTAAAATAGATAATACAAATGATGATAATGAAATTAGTAATTAATTAAAAAATCAGTTATTTACCATAATATTTTGATTAAATATTTGTTGATATTAATCAGGATGATTGTGGGTTCCTTAAATTATGATTTCATATAATCAGAGTTTAGTTTAACTTTTTAGTCAATTCAAATTTCTATTTTTATTTATGTTATTAGAACTGAATTAGCTAAACCATACTAATTTAATTTATTATTATTACCAGTTTATTTTCTAATCAAATTTTGGTCTAATTAAAGTGTATAAAAAACAAATTTAATAAATTTGAGCTATTCAGTTGCTATTTTATTTCATTATTATTTCTATTATTTTATTTACTTTATTATTTTGAAAGTAAGCTTAAAACTAAAATTTTACAATTTAAGTGATAATCGGGTTTTTAAACATTTCAATTTATATCCCAATTATTTTATTACTTTTAAGCTGATAATTATAAAATGCTCAATTTTTCTTATAAACTAACTAGCAGTCCAAATAAAATATCTTCTTGCCTAATTAACCTATTAGCTATATTTTTGAGTTATCAGTATTAATTAATAAAATATAATCTTTTTAACATCTTAAAAATAATTTCCGAATTATGAGTTAATAGTAATATTCTTATTTATGTTATCAAAACCAAATTTTACAGAATCTAAACAATAATATATTATTTTTAATAAATTTAGAGTCATACTTATATTTGGGATGATTCAAAAATTAATCTATTTAAAAACTTAATTTTTGGATCTAAAATATTTATATCATAAAATTGCTAATTGCAAATAGAACAGAATAGTAGAAGTAATTTATTTCTGGTCTTCAGTGATTACGACTTTTTATCATTTATCAATTATTTTATTAGAATAGGTTTAAACAACAGCTTTAATATTTTTTATTATCACTTGTTATAATTAATGTAAAATTTCTATGATATGTTATTTTTAAATAGAACAATTTTCAAAGAACATCCCTAAATTGAAAGATAAAAGTTTTGCTTATTCTGAAGTGCATTCTCCAATTTATTTATTAGTAACAACATTTTATTAATACATTAAGCAGAGTTAAAACCTTAAAATAAACAATTCAATTACCTTGATAGAAATAAATATATTAACATTCTCATGCAAATAGTTATGTAAACTTTATTTTTTAAATTAGATAATTAATTATTAAAAAATAGAGAATTTGAAATCTTTAAAGTTCCTAAAATTTGTTTTATAATTGCATTTCAATTCAATTGAACTATTATTGTTTTATCACAAAATAACAAATTGCTGAATCAGTAAAGCTCCGAAAATGCAAAATAAATATATGAGTGAATCTTTTACTTTTTTAAAAATAGCTGATACATCTAAAGACTGTAATAATTTGGTTTTGCTCAAAAATATGAGAAACTTATTAGTTTTTATTTATGTCTCAATGCGATTATTCATAATAATATCTGTGTGTGTATCTAACCTATATAAACATAAACATTTATGGTTGGTTTTTGCTCAAAAATTTATAAAAGAACACTTCTAATAATCTGTATTTGTATCATTATTTTATATTAATAACTTAAGAGTTTTAATGCTGTTTGAAATTGTAAATGTTGGAACAAAGACCTTCTTTTATGACAAAGCAATTTTAACAATTCTTTCTGAAAATTTGTCAGCATTGATGCAATTTCAATTGTACTCCGTATGTTAGATATATTATAATTAAATATTAATTATTAAATTAGAAATGTTTTTTGGTACACCCCCATAATTCATATTCACTTAAATGAATATTGTTCTGCTATATATTAAGAGATCTTATTAAAATCTTGATAATTTAATTTTTATCATCCTCATCCTAAGACAATAATGCTATTATTATTCATGTTTAATTAGAAAATATAATCATCCAAAGAAGCTCCTTCTTGTCTTTATACTCTGCCATTTTTAACGGCCTCCATGTTTTGCCTCATCCCCTTCCAGATACTACTGTGTATACATGTCTAAAAAGAGATTCCACCATTTCAGCCGATACTGATCTTCACCTTTCCTACAATGTACAGTGGCAGTTCAATACTTAAACCAATCTTTGAATACTAGACTTCTTGTATCTGTCTTCTACCTTTATTCGTCAACACTGTAAATTGTGTCCTGGATAGTGTTCTTTGCAACAGAATATATTCTGGAGAGTACATCATTGTCCCATTATTTTTATTCATTGAATATCTTCCAACTTTCTAATAAATTCTGTCAGATTTCATACCAAAAATCAAATTTTTAATTCTCTAAAGTTTTCTTATTTTATTTTCATCTATTCTCTTCTTATACTTCCTTTATGTTCTCTTCTAATATCTCTAGGATGATCTTGATATTAAGTATTGGATTCTAGTAATTTATTTTCTGTAATTCATGACTGTATAGGTATTTTTGAATTTTGATAACATTCAAGATATTTGTTATCTTAAATCACACACCTGATTTGATGACATAATCTTTCTTAAAGACAAAATTGAGAATCTCATAATTTTTCAATTTTATTTAGGCTTATAAAAATTCAGAATTGCACAAAGCCCAAACTAATTTAGAATGATTTCTCATTTTACAATATTTTAAATAAAATCACAAGATTCTAAAATAATAGTTGATTATTTAAAGTATAGAGGAGATCTTATGGAATGATAATATTTCTGAAAATTGGAAATTAGAAGATTTATTCACAATGTTCTTAAAGTAAGATAGAAAAATATTAATAGCCTTTAACCAATATGCCAAAAAGGTTTAAAAAAGAAAAACAATCTCTGTCTATCTAATTTAATTATTAAATTAAAAAAAATCTTTATTTACAAGTAAAAGGCCTATATGTACATTCTTTCGCTTTCAGCTTTTTAATTTTATTAATTCGTAATATTAATTTTAGTTCAATAAATAATCAATTATTGGTTTAGGGTTATAATTTTAATTATTTTGAATTAAGAACAAATTAATATAAGGAAATTTGTTTTATTAAATCATGCATCAGGAAGGGAATGATTTCTTTAATAAATTTAATATATATTAAATGGAATGTGTTTATAAACATAAAAGTTGTTCTGTTTTATTAGTCCTTGATAAATAAAAATTTAATTAGAAGGAAAGATTGATTTGTGCTGATTGTTTAGAAGAACATAAAGGAAGTTTAAGTATGACTATTAGTGATGAATCAGTATAAATATAAATATATAATTAGGATAAGCTGAGAAATTATGTCCATGCACAAAAAAAATAAAGTATTAATGAAATTGATTAATTTACTCGATATCTTTATAAACTTAAGGAAAATCTAATAAAGGTTATTGACATTATTATAGTGAATTCTCATTAATAGAAGGATGAATTGAATTAGAGTAATGATGATACTTATGATGATGATTAAATTTATTTAGAAATAGAGAGAATAAATAAGATTAATAAATATTATTAAAATAAATTGGAAAGTTCTGTTACAATTATAAAATAAATAGTGAATATTATCGAAAAAGAAACATATAATTTAACAAAAACATTAATAGATTTAAAAGATTACGAAGACTTCAACGAGAAGCCTATAAAAAAAGTATAAATGAATTCATTAGAATGTAAAAGTTAAGTATTTAGTGAAAAGCACTAAGAATTCATTTATCAATAAGTATAAGAAGTTCATTAAAAATAATGGTGTTTTGCACTTGCTTTTAATAAAATAGGTTCAATAATGGCTGGAGCAGCTAAAAAAGATATAAAAATTTGGAATTTTGAAAAAGGTTAATTAAAAGATTCTGGAATAATCTTAAAAGGTCATCAATAAGATGTTACTTGTATAATTTTTAGTAAGAAATAAAATTGGCTAATATCTGGAAGTATAGATTGCAAAATAATTGGATGGAAATAATTGTAAAACTCTAATTAATGGGAATCATAATACACTTGTGAAGCTCAATCAATTGTTTGGTGCTTATTTTTAAATTAAAATGAAAATTAAATATTTTCTGGACATTCAAATGGATCAATCAAAGTATGGAATTTGAACTAAGATAAAAATATATTAAAATTTCATTATTAACTTAATAAACATAGCAAGCATATTGGTTAAATTAGTATGAATGAAGATGAAACATAACTTGTATCATGTAGTGATGATAAAACTATTATTGTTTGGGAAAAAAAAATAAATCAAAGAAGATTTAAATTTAAATAAGTCTTAGAAAATCTCAAAAATGATAATGGCTTCAGAGTTTGTTTTCTTAATTAAAATACCATTGCTTGGTGTTAAGAAAACTAGGCATTAATTCATATATTTAAATAAGAAGCAGAAACATTTGTAGAGAAAAATGAACTTCAAATCAACTTAAAATATTTTGATCTAAAAGATGGATAATCTCTATTTCCTTCTATATATAATAAAGAAAAATAAATTTTCATCATTAAACATAACAAATATGTTTACATTTTAAGTTATTAAAATTAAATATTAAATGCTTAAATAGAACCTATTGATTGTAGATCTTGTAAAAATTATGGTAATGTTACTGAGGATGGAAATTATTTAATTATTTGGAATGATGAGACATTATCATTTCATGTTTATCAATTGAAATATCAATGATTATTATTTTAATAATATAATATTAAAAATTAATATATTTTCCTGATTCTGCATGACAACCCATTAGTCTTGTTAAAATAATTCAAACCAGATATTCATATCCTATAGTCAAACATTATTAATTTATTAAAAATTTAGCTGCAGCTTAGTATCAGACATATTAAGCTATTTAATTTAATATCAAAACAAATACAATTATGACATATTAAAATACAAATATTTACTAAAGTTTAATAATTTAATTTTTCATTTTTAAATATTTACAGTTATATTATTTCTACCCTATTATTTGTATCAATTTCAATCAAGTATTTTGTCAATTATTTTCATTATTTATATATATACTTCATGATATGAATATATTAAAACCATAATTAAGTTTAGAAAGCCACTCTTTTTGCAAGAATATAAATATTATTTTTTTATAAGATAAAAATGCATATCTCAAATTAGCTAAAGCTGCAATGTGAATAGACAATCGATAATTTAAAAAAGAATCAAAAATATGTTTTTAGGATATTGAGATTATCTGAACCAATAATAAATGATCAAAATTAGAAATATCAATAAATTTTGCTTAAAATTAATTAGAAGGGTTTTTTATTTCGATGATTCTCTTATCTGATTTCTTTAAAAAAACTTTTTTCATTAAATTTGTTAAAATCTTCATGTCAAATAAAGTTTCAAATAGAATTCGAAGTAAATAGAATATTTTAAACATATTCTAAATTTTATTTTATTATCATACTCTATTTAACCTTCTAAAATTTTGAACTTAAAAAAAATAATCTTTGTTTTTTTTTTCATTCTTAAAATTATTTCTATTAATTTTTAGTTCATCTCAAAGTTTAAGACAAAATTTAAAGTTATAGGGATTTAGGAAATACATTTGGAATTAGTTAAGATGTTATACTATTAACTTAACCTATAATAGCGAAGGCAGCATAATAAGGAGAATTTATGAAAAAATATCAAATAATCATAGGTTCTTTAGCCAAAAACAGAAAACCTCACAACTCTTTAGATATGTAACTAAATGTTTCGTGACTGTCATAGTAATTATGCTCAAAAACTAACTTTTTTCAAATTAAAAGGTTTATTTCATTCAAAGTTTTGTCTTTTTATATTAAAGAATATTGCTAAAAAAATTAACTATCATCAAAACGTAAATAATTATAATTAATTAGAATACAATTCAATTTGTTAGTTAATAATTGATACGTTTAATTTATAGTTCACATAGATAGATAAGTTCATGTTTGAACCTATAATTTTTAGTAGAATATTACGCTATTGTTGATTAATGATAATTATTAAATTTAATATTTTTGTATATTAATTTAAAATAATCGTCAGTTATAAGAATGTTAAAAATCATATTCAATTATTAATAATGAAGGGCATTTCAATACACAAAAAAGATAATTAATTATCTCACTTAAGAAATTTATAAGTAACTAGAAATTGAATTTTATAATTCTATTTTACATTGATTTGTTTATTGAATATAATATTATATCATTTTTCGATAGAATTTGATTCAGTTTTTTAGATAAAAAAGTCTTAACTTTAAGGCTTTTAATTTCACATTATAAAAAAAAGTGTATTTGTTCATATTTTATATATGCTTTTATATTTTTCTTTAATATTTAGAATTGGTTTTTTCTAATTTTTATAGAACAATTTACACATTTCCTTATGGAAAGTAATTTTAAAATGATTAACATTAATCACATTAAATTGATAAATGAAGAAATTTAGCACTATTAAATAGAACATCTAACATATTAAATTCTTTGATAGCATTTTTTTAAGGCTTTTGAGATTTTCCAGAATTAAATACATCTTATTCTTAATTCATAGATTATTCTCTCCTAAAAATAGGTTTACTAATAAAGCTTTTACCCATAGGTAGATGAAATTTTTCTTGATCTCCATCATTTAATATGATTTTTTACGTTTTATTAATATCAATATTACATTCAGAAGAGTGATTACTCTATGAACTATGAACAGCTAAAGCCATTTATAATGAATTTGACAATTAGAAACCAAAATTATCTTCTAAAAATTTAGTAACAGATTGAGAAAGTTTTCGTTACTCTTTTATACTTTTAATTTTGTTTCCCAATCTAATTTTTGCTGATCTTAAAAAGACAACAGATTATTATGTTTTTTTTAGTAATCTTTATTCTAAATCAGGATTATAATTTAGAACTGGACAGTCTATCTCTTAATGACTGTATCGATCACAAAATTGACAACGTAAATCAAAAAGGCGATAATTTTAATTAAATATTATTTAATCTTTTATGTGATGAAATGTTTCAAAATCTTTCCTGTTAAATTATAAAATCTCTAAAAATCTTTTTCTACTAATAGTATATATTTTAGAAAAACCACTACTTACTGCTGAGGTTTTAGGTGGAAAATCTGTGAAAAATTAATATACACCAAATGTTTAATTCTATTTTAAGTTATTAAATTTCATTTTGCTTTTTTCCTCTATTATCTCAATTTCTCCTTCCTTAATAAAATAAAGATTTTTCTCCATAATGTCTCCTCTTTTATAAATGAAATCACCAGGAGAATATTTAACAAGCTATAAACTTTTTGATAATAACTATTAAGTTCTAGATGAAAAATGACTTATTACTGATTTGACTTAATTAATTACTCTTATTTAAATATCATAATTTAAATCCTACTATAAATTTTAAGGTAGGATTGATATAAGATTATCAACATCATCTTAATTTTCATTTTATTCTTAATTTATATAATATTTTAAATAATTTCTTATTCTACTTTAAATTTTAGGTTCTACCTAATTTTTACTCATAAATGTATTCATTTTTAATATTGATCTTTTATATTTTAATTTTGAATCCTAAAGGTTTTTTAAAATAAATCCTATCTAATTCATAGAATATGCAAATACACCACTTGATAAAAACATTATAATATCTACATAAATTAATTCTAGTTGACTTTAAGCTGTAATATCACCATATCCTATTGTTGTCATAGTCATAGTTGCCCAATAAAAAGCATAATTATATTATTTCCATACAGGCTCATTTAATAATTCATATTTTATCAACCAAGATGTTTCCATAGATTTTATTCCAACATAATGCCATAAACAAGCAACAATATGTGCTAATAAATATATTGATAGAATTAAGCTTAACAAATCCATTAAACTGTTTGATATTCCTTTAAAGAATACAAATTCAAAATAATCTGATAAATATTTTTAAATTTTTATATAAGTTACAATCAATTAGGCTAATGTTAAACATTCCCCAAAAAGTTAATAAGAAATTAGATTTTATTAAATTAATGTCCATAAAATTAAATTAAGAATATCGTTTTTAAAATTACTTTCCATATACTTCTAGAACAATAACTTTCTTTTTGATATCAAAATTCCTTAGATAATAATTCCTTTATTTAATGCAATAATAATATCACATACTAAAAAAATAATAATTGACACTTTTAATTATGTAAGTTAGATTTCATTCTAATTTTATTCAAATGACAATATAAATGGAGTAAGCCATAAAATAATAAAATTAAAAATTATCCCAATAGCATTCCAAACTAATACAAATCTACAAGTTGGTTATATTACAGGTATTCCAGATTATGTATATGTATCTAAAAAGAATATTTAAATTATATACCGAAAATAGGTTATTTATTATTTTCTTCAATATATTTATCATGAATTAGTTGCTTCTTTTTTTATTTTAATATGTAGGAGTTTGTAAACAAATTATTTATAAATTATTATTTAATTTTCTCAGCTTTAATTACTTTTATAAAATTTGACTGGAACAATTTGTTTTTGAATTTTATTGTTTAGAAGCTTTTATTATTTATATTATATTCTTCAGAAATCTTAGAAATATTATTAAACTACTCTTAAAGAATCAATCTAGGCTAAATAGAAAGACTACGAGAGGTTTATTTTCCTCTATCAAAATCTACAATTTATCTGCAAGCATCATCTGATATTTCAGACAATCTTGATGCTGATTCACTTTTGCAACTGATTTATTTAGTATACTTCCTAGGGCTTGATTAATATTCAATATTAACTTTTTACATATATTAAAAATAATAATATTCCAATTTTCTTTTCAAATCTTAAAGGAGTGTAAATATATTTAGAATGTAATCATAATATTATGATTTCTTGTTAAATAATTATTTATAGAATTATTTTAAAGAATAAATTTTCAAAAGTTTAATGAACTTCTATTTTTTTAATTTAGATGGGAATCACTAAAAAATACTTTGATATCAATTTTTATATTCCAGATGGGCAAAGAGTATTTGTATGCTTTAAGAATATTATTTTTGAAGCTAAATTCATCATTAATTAATTAAGAAAAGATTTTTAATTACTTCAAAATTAAAATATGAGAATTATTTTAATGGCAAGAAAAATAAATACTTACTTAAAATTTATCATAAGTAAAAATTTTAAATAAAGTGTTATACTAAACATAATATATAACAAGTTTCAATAAAATTAGTATCAGATATAATGTTAATTTTTGCATATAAAATATTAAATATTTTGTATAAATTATTACAACATTTATGCTCATAAATATTTGATATTTTTATATCAGAATAAGTTTAAATAGAAAATTAATCAATAATCATATTTATTACTTTGAAGATTTTTATTTTATAGTTTTCTATAAAAATTTAAGATTTATTTTAATTTCATAAAATATTAATAATCAAAATTTTCTACCATATGTGATTATACTTACAAAATTAAATATATATCCAATCCTAATAAAGAAATGAGTATTTTTAGATATTAACTCTCAAATTTATTTTATAGGGAACTTGATTTATAAATTCATTCTTTTGATTCTATAGATATTGATTTGAATGTTATTATAAGTTTATTAAGAATTTTATGCAAGGTTCTTCGAAATATTAAAGCTGGGTTATTAAAAATGGGTAAACTTGATTAGCTCCAATCTGAAAATTTTCATTATTATCATTTGATATTTATTTCAACAAAATAAGAGTTATTCAATTCTTTTATAAATCAAAATTATTAAACCATTTTTGCTTTAAACAGATTAGAATTTGTAGTTTTTATAATATATAACTAATATAAGAAGTATTTTAGATATTTATTAATACGTATAATATGATCAAGACTTCCATTCTAAATTTGATTTTAATCGTCTTTAGTAGTGAGAAAATATTATTAATTGCTTGCTTTTTTTTTAAACAAAGAAGGCAGATTTTTTAAAACTAAATGAATAATATAATTAAATAGACATATACGTAAGATTATCATTAAAAAATAAACAGTTTAATTATTAATCATTGTTGTTTTTAGAATGTACATACTAATTTCAAAGAATACTCATTTTATTAGATTAAAAAATGATTCAATGTGCAATATTACGACATCAAAATTTAGATTGTGCTTACATCAAAGAGAAGCAATTTTGGTAATTCGTAAAAAGATTGTAATAAACATAATCTGTTGATACAAGACTCAAAAAGGGTTTTTTGGTTAAATTACCTTTTATTTGAGCTAGCCCAATTAGCTGCTAAAATTGAATAAGTAGATACAACTTTACTAGATTGTTTTAAACTAAATATTAAATTCATCTCTATCATACCATCTTCAGTTTTTGAAAAGATTAATGAAAAATTAGGAAGATAGTTTTCTATATAATGTACAAATTTGCAACAACAAAGAACAACTGATATAAAAATCTGGGTATTACATTTGAATTCAGATTAACAAGTTATCTTTGCTTTATTTCTAAATATAGTATATATTTATGTTATTAAGTCTTAATGACTAGTTTAAGAACTTGTGTCACACATTAATTCTTAAGTCAAATAGGATAAATTAAAAAGTGTCATTTAAATGTATGCATAACTTTGAAGCTTTTTATCTTATTAATCCATTTATTTTTTTGGTGATTTAGGTTTGTTTAGGTTTTATTAAAAAGCAGCACAACAAAATTGATCTTTAATCAATTAAGATACCTTTTGAGATAATTCTTATAAAAAAATAACTAACATATCTTAAGCTTTATGATCTGGAATTTGAATTTTATCTAAAATAAGTAAGCATTAAACTTCATTATTCAAAATACACTTATTTAATTTAACTTTATAAACAGTTTTATTTATTTAATCAATAAAGTACTTTTACTTTTCTTTGTTATCTAAGAAATTACTTTTTTTTTCTATTAACATATTTCTAACATATTATTCTAAATTATTTCCTGGATCTATAGTTTGATGCTAATTTTTTGAATCTACAAAAATTAACTAAAAATTAACAATTTTTTACATTTCTTAAAAATTGTCTTAAATCATAACATCCATTTATAGAATGAGTTTACTAAGATCGAATACTTTATTTGACTAATCTAATTTAATCTTATTTTTAATCATAACGAATGAGTATTATAGTATTTGAAATAGCTTTTCGAATAATCCATTCCCATTATTCTTATTGAAATGAATAAAAAAACTCTTCTTTCTTTTTTCTCTCATAAGTGTACTTTACTGCCACCATACAAATTGTCATAAAAAAAAAGCTAAGTATGTTAGCAACACTTTAAATCTCATTAAAAGGTACTAAGAGTACATGAATACTATTAATGATTATTAAAATAGTTGTTGATATCATCATATCAGTTCCTTGTAAATATAAACAAAAATGCATAAAGCAAGTTTAATAGCCATAACTCCAATTGTATACATTATTTATTTTATTTGAGTTATCCATTATATTATTTATTTCTACTATGAATAACACGTAAAATTGGTAAAATGATATCACATAATTAATTAGATATGGCCTATTTGTTATCAATTTTTATAATCCAACAATTAAGAAGCAACTGAATCCAGCTAGAATGGAATAGTAAATACTTGATGCCAATATAAATTAAACCATATTTAATATTGCAAATGTCTAATATTAGTTTCATGATTCTTACCAATGCATATACTGTAAAGTTAAGATGCTCTTGTATTATTTTTGGTGAGTTCTGCGATAGGTATTTATCTGATTGATCTTTGTATAAGAAATTCAAAGTGTATTTATTCAACATGATTTAGAAATTAAATTAAGTTTTAAAAACATAATAGAAACAACATTAATTCTAAAATACATTAGACAGTAAAATTATTAACTTATTTTTGTTTCATTAGGTTTTCTAAAAAATTTTATAAATATAAGTAAAATTAATGATCATTATTAATAACTGTAACAAAATTTAATGATTATGTAAAGACTAAGAGTTTATTTTTACTTATCATTATCAGAATCTAAACTAAGTATGAATATAAAAAGATGGAATTTAACTATTGAAACTGAATCTATTTAGACAAGTTCAAATATATTTTTTAATTATGAGTTATTGTAAGTTATGCAATCACAAAATAAGTAATATGCATGGATTTGTTTAGATTGATTAATCGAAAAATTGAAGAAAATATTAGTAAGATAATAAAGAAGAATTTCAAAATATAACTTAAAAATTCATAATAGAGAAGAAAATTTCGAAGAGTTATCAACAAGCAATATTTATTTAAGATAAATCAGACTCAAAATTATAAATTAGTTGAACTAAAAGATTAAATATATTTAGTTGAAATAAGGAATGAGGAACCATTAATTAGGACTTTGAATTTATGAGAAAAAAAGTTGGTTTAATTGGAGTAGAAATAGATGATATTCAAAATGAAGTTAAAAACTTCGCTATAGATATTGAATTAAAAATACAATTATATATAAGATCATAAATTTCTAGTAATGTCTAATACAAATAGATCAAATTTTGGAAATATTTAAAAAATTTTCTTAAGAATTATTGTTTAAAGTTAGAGTATGATGTTATTGACAATCATACAGTGATGTTATGTTTTAAATTTAAAAAAAAGTAAAGAAAAAATAAAGTAACTTAGCTTTAGTTAAGTAACAATAAATGCAGAGAATTTTAATAAAAAATTTATTAATATAACTTGAATAAATTTCAGTGCCTATATAGAATCTCAATAATTTAATAGAAAAACATGACAATAAGTTGAATGATTATAAAGAAATAATTTAAATAAGTGAAATCGACATTTTAAAGATGATTAAAAAGAGAAATAGTAAAGATTTACATAAATGATAAGAATAAAATGGGAAAAAAGAAAAATGATTAAAAGTGTTATTTTATTTTAATTATCGATGATAAATTGAGAATAATTAATGAAATTAATAAAATCTGGTATAATTGTTATTGTAAATCTTTTCAATAATGAAAATTCTAAGAGAATGAATTTGTATACTTAATTTGTAATAATAAATTAATCGATAATGAATTCTGAATTATTCGCTTGTTAATTTTGCAAGGAATATTTCTCTATTTAAAGAGAGCCATTTCTATTACCTGATTGTGGTCATAGTGTATGTGCAGAATGTCTAACTGAAAAATTAAAAAATGGGAATCAATTTGTATGCAAAGAAGATGGGTATTAATTTGAATTATAATCATAGGGTATAAGTAACTAGGAATTAAATGAATGAATTCCCAAAAAACTTTGCTTTAATGTAAATAATAAAAAATAAGCCAACAAATAGAAAAATTGTAATGAACAATTCTCCAAAATAATTAGAAAATGAATAAGATCCTGATAGATGTAAGAAACATGGTGAAAAAATGGATGTTGTTTGTGTTGATCATCGAGTGAGAATTTGTGCAAAATGTGCATTATTTGGAGATCATGCAGATCATAAAGTTGTTAATTTAGAAGATGCGTTAAAAAAGATTATAAGAAGAATTGAAGAATTAAAAGATATGTCAGAAAGACTGGATAAAGCTGCAAATGAAACCTTTGAAATGTCTTAATATTTTAACAAAATTGAATTGCATTTTTAATCTAATTTAGATATATAGATTAAGCAAATCAATTAATTTTTTGATGAATTAACCATAATATTAGATAACAAAAGAAATAAAATCATATAGGAATGCAAGGATAAAATAATCCATTCATAAGAACTTTATAACAAATATATAGCTGAAGCATTTATTGATGTCTAACGAAAAGTTGAGTTATGGAGAATGACTAGTAAAGATAGAATTCAATACTATGAAGAATAATAAAAGTCTAATTCTATTCCATTTGAATTGATATCAATTTCTTCAACTAACGAATTGATGTTGATTGGTGCATAATATCTAAAAGAATTAGAAACTACAAAATAATAAATATTACTTAAGATAGATGAACCATCTTTTAGAGAAATACATCTAGAACTTAAAAGTGATTTAGAGTAATTCATAAATACTCATTTGATTATTTATTAAAAAGATCCTTAATTTAGATTAGAAAATTCCTTATCAAGACTTGAATCTATTACTGAATGTTCATTGCTAAAAGATATTAATAGTTCAATAATTTAGGATCCTTTAAATTAAAATTAAATGGAATTATGGATCAGATAATATTAAGAGAATCAACAGTATAAATAGTAATTAAATCAATAATAATAATAATATTAATTACAATCACAATAATAATAATAATAGTAATAGTAATAATAGTAATAGTAATAGTATTAATAGTAATAGTAATAATAATAGTAATAGTAATAATAATAGTAATAGTAATAGTAATAATAATAATTTTTATATGCTCCATAATAGTAATATTAATAACCTTAAAATTCAGCTTATTAATAGTTATCCTATTCAAATCATTAGCGAACTGATCAACCTTTAACATCTTAAGAATTAGATGATTAATATTTGAATAATTTAAAGAAATCCCCTTCAGCAACAACTTTAGCTACTAGACGAACTGTTTCTCCTTCACCTATCAGAAGATCAATGAAATAAAAGAAAATCAATGAAAAATTCTAACCTTTAATTGTTAAATTAAAAGGAGATAATTTAGATTAATGTGATTTTAGTCAAGCTGAATTAGGAGATGAAGGATTACTTGCTTTAATTACTATAATAAAAAAAACAAAAAATCTAAGAGTGTTAAAATTAGCGAAAAATAAAATTTAAGATGGAGCAGCCTAATAATTATTGGTAGAATTGATAGAAAAACAAAATGAAAATGATTAAGAGAACAATTAAATATAAACTATAAATTTATCAAGTAACATGCTAACTGATAAAATTATAGATACCATACTTGATTTATGTATTAATTTTATATTTTTTAGGTAAAAAATATTCTAAAACTATGCAGCATTAATCTTTAAATTAAATTTATTTAAATCAAAATATCATAAATTTAACAAGAGTCAAAAGGAAAGTAGATGAAATCAAAAAGTATGGATTAATAATAGCCATTTGACTTAGTTCTAGTTTGATAATCTATATATATTTATTTATATATATTCATTTTAAAGAGTAATTTTAATTATTATCATTATCATCTTTTTTTTGTTTTACATTATTACTGAATTGTTGATCTAAGTTTAGTGATTTTAACTTGATCATCAACTTTTTATTCTTATAACTTTTTAATTTCTTCCATTTAAACATATTTATCTTATTCAAATTGTTAATATATTTCTCTTAATAAGTTTTCAAAGACAACAAACATTTTATTTTGTTTTTTGATAAGTGATGTTTTTAATTATTAGTTTTCTTATTTCAATTTTTGAATCCATTAAAGTACAATTTGTTCAATTTATTAAGTTCTAGTTTTCCAATGCAATAAACCTTGTTTCATAACATGTAATCTTTTTTCATAAATAGATTTTATTGATGGTGCATAACTAATAGTAAATTATTTGTTTTAATAGGATTCTAATTAATTTTCTAGATTGTCAATTTTAGTTTCCTAAAAAATATATAAAAAAAGATACCAAAATCATTTTTTCATCAATTAAATCTTGATACATTTTGGATAGATTAGTTTATTATGAAATTCTATTAACTTTTTTATCAATTTATTCTGTAAGCAATTCTGAACTGAGAGCTTAACACATGAATTATAATTCTTTAAAGGCTTTTTCATAAAGTTTTTAGAACTCATCTTTTGCTTTATTATGAATGTTATTAATTTAATTTTAAAGAATTTCTTTTTCTGATTATTCTTTAGCTAATCTTTAAGTAAATAAATCTAATTCTCCTTTGGTCATATGTAAATCTGATTCCAATGAGAGAATATATTATTTAATATCTTAAGTTAGATCAGTAGCTTAAACAAATTCTTCATGTTATTATTTTAAATCTTAGATGATTTGTTGTAATTATTATTATTTCAAATTATATTCTTCTGTTAAGGTGGTTAATTATTATCTTAGAAATCTTTCCTATTTGGATTTTAATTCTAATTCTATTTTAAGATAGACATTTTCTCTTTCAAGAAAGCTAGCTTAATCTTATCCTTGACATGGATCTTAAATAAAAATAAAAATATTACAAATTTATTTGAGGGCTTCAAGTTTATTTTATAGGAAACTGATTTATTATGGAAGGATATCATCTTTAGTACCAGATTAAGATTATTGATATTAGTGTTCTTCTTTAACACTTTAACCTGAATACTAGTAATCATTATTAAGATTAACATTATTATTATTATTATTTTTATGTTTAGAGCTTGTTATAAAATTGAGTTCTTAAACATCTTATAGATTATTTTTGGATTCAGTAGTTTTCTTTTCCCTACCAAAAGTATTATGTTCATTATTTCTACCAGATTATTCAGATTATGGAGTTTTGAGATTCTCTTAATCATAAATATCAATTCCTAGATTATTCCTAATCTTTGATAATTTCTAGGTAATTTATTCTATAAATTATGAATCATCTGCATATAACATTTAATCGTCAGCTTCAAATTAACTACTCATCTGTTAATATAATAAATATTATTATAAATTTTATATTATTTTGAATATATGTTCAATGTATAATGATAACTCAAGCTGGTCCAACAGAAGCTTCAGCCCCCTATTTATCTTCAAAGTACATGTAGTCCATCATTAGAGTTACAGCAAGGAGCAATGCTTTGTCTTCCTTTGTAGCTCCTTTAGGGAATATTAAACTGAAATTGTCAGCATCTCCAATCATATTCTTACAACAATCTTTTCCTTTTTTCATTAAATGAGCTACAACCTATAAAAAATTAAATGATCAATTCTTACTTCACCATTTGGAATTTTAATTACAAACTCAACTTTGTTACATGAATTACATGGACATCTACACCAGAAATATGTCTAACAACAACTAGCTTCTACTATATATCTTAGATTATCATTTATGTCGAGAACATGACAACCAATATTACAGAAATACCAAGGGTTAACAATTGTACCTAGTTTCTTATTTTAATCATTCTCTACATACAAAACTTCAAGTCGAGGTCTATTTTATAATTTTATATAATTGATACCTGTTGAAACACAAACATGTGCATTAATATTCTCTCTTGAACTTAAAAACTATTCTCTTATCGTCTTTCATAAACATTTTTGCCATAGCAGGTTAGAAGTCTTTGCATCCATAATTACTGATTTTCATCTCAAAAGGTCTAGCATTACCTCTAAAATTCACTTATAAATATAATAACTTACGGAAGACAAATTCTAGCACATGTTGATGACTTTTCTTTGCATTTAAATAAAGCCTTCTGCTTTTTTTTCTTACCTTAATCGTTTGCAGGATATACCTTATATACATTTGGTGTTTCAAAACCTAAGAATGACTAAGAAATCATACCTGTAAGGGCTTCAAACAATTCAAACTTTTGTTTTATAAAGATACCATCCTGTTAACCCAAAATATCTAAACAACTACTAGACATGGCTTCAATTAAGTTTTATGCTTATTCATTCATCTATACAAGCACAGCTTATCCTAAATTTCCAACCTGATTAAAAGCAGCTTACATTTTTAGAAGTCAAGTAAGTTAAATGAAGAAAGTTAATAATATTGTGTATAGATGATTAACAGTTACATATAAATATATGCAATTTACATCACCAATCTTTTGTAATTTCAAAATAATATTCAAATTGCATATGTACAATGCCATCCCCATCAACAAACAACAATTTTCCCTTATAATTTCCTCTTGATAAAAATCCTGATGGAGCAATTTAGGATTCCATATTATATATTTATATATGTTTTTTAGGTGCAAATGAGCCCACCATCTCCTCATATGAATCAACTAAAATCATATGTAGATATTGACACCTTTTATTCCATGTCTTTTAATTGTATTATATAACTTTAAACCAACAACACAATCATTTTTCACCTTAAAATGCAAACTAATATAATATTCTTCCCCTTCTTTAATCTTCAAAGGAGATTTCTCATTTTCTTTTATTCCAAATTGTAAATCTAATGCAATAGATCTCTCTGGATATTAAGGAAAGTGTATTTCCATCAAAAAAAACTCTACTTCAGGAGCTAAAAATTAATTTTCATAATTATCAACCTTCATCTTTAAGTTCATCTACATTTTCCAAAATTGATTTCTAATATTTAACTAAAGATTCATCATTTTAATTCTATTGACAAATAACTGCCAAAGATACTCTCTTTTTATTGAAATTAATATCATCTAAGTTGAAATCTTTGAGCTGATTAATTAGAAAAAACAAAATTACATCATTTTCTGATAATTTGTCTACTGTACAAGACTTTTACCTCTATCTTACATCAGATTATGAGAATTAGTCTTATTACTACATAAAATTGAATATGAAATAATTAATAAATATTGATTTTCAAAAAATTATACGATTTTGTACTCCTTAATTCCCTTATTATCCATAATCATCGTCATCATCATCATTCTTTTAGTTGAAAGTTTATTAATTTTAAACTATCATTTATTATTATTGTTATTAATTTTATTACTTCAAATTCATATAGTTTTAATTATCCTGATCAATAATATTCTTCAAAAAATTTTACTTAATCTTTGCTACTTAATATGGATAATCAGTTTTATAAAATAAAATATAGGGAGTCTATTAGACATACAAATTCTATAAAGCAGTTTAAATGCAAGGATATCTACATATTTATTCATCATTTAATAAAGTATATCTAGAAAGAGTGAAGTAATGTCCATAATTAATTTGAGCTCCAGAATGAACAATTACTGCTTATAAAAATAAACTTTGTTAATTTATTTGGATTTTATTAGGAATATCAACTTTTGTTAAGATTTTAGTGTTTCCTGAATATTTGAAATCAAATCTATTAAGCGTAATAATAAAATTCTAAGCAGTTTTCTTAATTGTGAAATGTCTTTTAGCATTAGTTTTTGAATTACAATTATCACATTAATATTAATTATCACCATCCATAATCTCAGGTTTACAATTTTCTTCAATCAATTCTTCAAGTTTGATTGAATTTGTATTAGGGATTGATAAACTTAAATCTAAGATGTCTTCCTATGTTTTGAATATTTAATTGCAATTTAAACATTCAATTGTCCATTCTATTTAGCCTTAAAAAGAATCTTTTATTAAATTCTAAATAGTATAAATAGTTTACTTCATAGATTTTGAGTTTTTTAAGATTAGTCTCAATCTCATCTAAGAGGATTTTTCCAAATTCATTAGCATCATGTTAATTGTAATTGTTTTTAAATTAATCTGGTAAGGTCATTCTAAATCGGATAGGATTGATGCTTTCTCTAGCAGAAAATGAAAGAAAAGCAAATAATTATTATAATTACAATAATAAACCTACATTTGGTTTGTTTCCAAGTTGTTTATTTTAAGTGTAATCTTATAATTACTAAGCGATTCTGTTAATTTCAAAATCTAATACTTGTTATCTGAAATCACTGCAAAGATGCAAGGCTTGAATAAAACTATTCATATAGCAAGTATTTCCTAAATTCTATAAACCTCTAAAATGCATATAATTTAATTATTGCTATTAGAATACTAATATAATAATTAATTATAATGAAGAATCATGAATAATTGATATCAAAATAATCAGGGATTGGAATCTTCCAGAAGTTTTAAGATTAATACTCTCCTTCATCTACAGGAGGGAAATAAAGCTGAATATTCTTATTTAATTCTACATAGCTAGTTTTTTCATCAGTATCAAATTTATGAATATCACTTTTTGGATCAATGATAAATATTCTACTAATATCAACATTGACTGCTTAATATGCTGTAGAATCCTAAATAATATATAATATTTAAATATACTGTAATTCTATTTCCAAATCCACAATAGAAAGGACTTTCTCCGATGAATAAATTTCTTATTTCTTTTAAAGCAGTAATCTTAAATAATTCTGGTGTTCCGTCAATTATTTCTCTTTTAAATGCAGGAAATAAACTATCAGGACTCAATATTACAGGTCCTTTAGGTAATTTAGTGCTTTGTTATTATAAATTATAAATGAATTCTTTTGTTTAATCTGCTTAACCTATTGCTCTAGCAGTCAAATACATTATATTATAACCCATTGATTGTATATTCTAATAAAAATTAGCTACCCCATCATGATTCCAATCTGTTCCTAATTTTGGCATTAATTAACCTAATATATCTGATTTAGTTATAGTTCCATCTATATCTGAAATAACCAATTTCGTTTTTTAATCATACAAATAAATAGTTCCATGTAATTCAACAATATCATTCTTTTTTGGTATACACAATCTATAAGTAATTTTATTTTCTCCTTTTCGCAATCCCAATTATTTTAATATAGATGAATGAGGTTTTAATATTGGTCTCTATTATCTCCTTCTTCTTTATATAGAAATTGTACTTTAAGTATCAATGGAATCTTCACTCATTTTCCTAAGTCTATCTTATGATTTAAATTATTGATGTTATTTTTACGTTTATTCATTATTGTTTATTATTTCACTATTATTATTATTCTATTCAATTTAATCTAATCCTTTCTTTTTACCAAATAAAACACTATACCATTATAATTATTATTAAGGGTTTTACTTTTTCTATTAATCCAAACTATCTATTATCATTTCTTAATTGTACACTTACTTAGCCAATAATTAAATTAATCCAGCCTCTCTACTGAAAAATTTATCTCCGATCTTAAACACTAAATCTTTATTATTAATTATCTTTAATGAATCCTTTGTAAATGTTGTATAAGGCACTTTATGTTATTCAAACAATTATAATCTTTAATTTTATGTTAAATTTTATTATTAAATCTATTAACCACATAAAGAAAGTTCCATAACTGATTATCGTGGTGACAATGTCTCTTTATCACTATATGCAATATTATTATTCTCAAAATCTTAGGTTTATATCTATTTCTCTTATTATTATTACTGGAATTATAAATTTTATTTATCTAATTATATTTTTGATAATCCCTAATATTATTATAATATTATTACTATAAATGACGTATCTTCTTATTAAAATTCTTTAAGGTTATTTATTGTTTCTATCTTAACTCCACTCTCCTTTTTTTAATTGGATCCTTTTTACCAAAATTTTAGTGTTTAAAGCCAATTACTATTTTTTTTATCACTATTAAAGAGATCATCAGGTTTCTAATAATTCAATGATTATCTAAAAATGCTGGATGTCTCATCTAAATGACTATATTATCTATTTAGTTAATTATACCTTATTTTATCTAAACATGAATCATCAGATTAATAACCAGAAGAAAAAGAACTATTTTCAAAATATGCTGCACCTTCCTTTCCTAATCTCATTTTTACATTTGTCAAATTTCCATTAACAATTAAATCAACCTAATAATCTTAACCATCATATTTTCCAAATCTAACATGAAATGGAGTAGATTTCAACGACCCATTACTTTATTAAACAACAATAATGTCAATACATCCACTTAAATAATACTTAAACATATAGATTCAAATTCCATTACTTGTCTGATGTCTAATTTGGATATTATCTTTTAAGTTATAGAGCTCATTATTATTAATAATATATATTATTCATTTTTAATCTTTTTTCTTCTTCTATTTTTAAAACTCCTTCCTTAAAGCTGCATCATTTCTCTACAATTATTCTAATCTCTCCTTTTCTATTTATGCTTTATTAATATCCCCAGCTATCATACAAATTCGATCACTTCTCTTTGCATGATCTGATTCCAAATTAGATTTCAATATCTGCATTGCAAACGGTTTTATTACTCTAGCATCCCAATATCTAATCCCATCAAAATCTGCAAAACCCATATAACTTCCATATAATTTACTAAGCACAGTCTTTCCTTGCTTTATTTCACCTTCAAAATAATCGGTTGGCTTATTTTTCACTTTCCCCAATTAAACAATACAATTTAAATCTAATTATCATTTTCTTTATACTATTAGCTTCATCTGTAAAAGAAAGAGCTCCTTGAGATTCATTTTTCATTGTTCCAAAGAATGTTCCTGAATAATGTTCTGAAGAAAAAGTGCAAACTATCTTCTAATCTAAAAATTAAATGGTTCTTTTTCCATGATTCAAAATAGTTAATGAATTTAAACCTGCTTTTGCTTCATAAAGAGAATATCCAAAGAATTTATAAGACCTTTTAGGACCATATACTAAAAAATAAGATAAAGGAGGATGATGAGATATCTATTTTAATATTTCAATATTACTTATTCACAATATAATTATGTGCCATCTTCATAACCACCTTCAAAGGTTTCTCCTAAGATTGGATTGAGAGGTTTTAGAAATGAATTAGCTTAAATGTAATTAGATATAAGAGCAACAATACTAAGTTTCATTCTTTCTAAGGGTTTTTGAAGAGAAGCAGCCTTATTCATATAAAGAGGAAAGAGAATGGTTTACATAAAGGTTTTTTCTAAGGCTGATTTAGGAATCATAGCTTTAATCTAAAAATATAAAAAGAAATGAATTTACAGGAAAAGAAACAGTAGTTAAATTGAAATTTCCACTAAGTAATTTTTGACCAACTTACTTAATCATGTTTTTTCCAACACTTCTGGCTAAATCAATAATCTTTTCATCTTAGCAAGCGGTGCCTCCTTTTTTATGAGCTGATTGAACTCTATATTCATCTTTATTATCAACTTTCCTAAAATTTAAAGCATAATTCATAATTGTATTATAATCTCTATAATTACAATGTTCTCCATCATCAAAAACAATAGAAACTTTAACAAGATCTATTTCATCAGAATCTTCCTCTTAATTTTATTCGGTTTTACTAGATTTATTATTCTAAAGTTATTATTATTCATTTTAGATTAGAATTTATTATTATTCTTCAAGTTTATTTTTACTATTATTATTAATAATTAAATTATCAGAAGGTTCTTATTTATTATTATTATAATTTCCATTTTCATTAAGATCACTATTTTCATTTCTATCATCATCTTTTTATTTTTATTCATTTAATTCATTAACATAATTTGCTGCTTATTCAAATCCATTTGCTTAGAAATCACTAATAAACTAGACTTTCGGACTAGTATCACTTGTACCATTAACTTATCTCCTCATATGAACTAAGTAATAAAGATTATTAATATATATTACCTTTGATACTCTTTGCTATTTATACACCTGATCCTTATCCTACACTTTCATCACTTATTTCATCAAATTTAAAAGAATTTTATTTTTAAGCACTCCCTTTATTTGGTGATGATAAATTATTTTAAATAAAGACTTATGTTTGTTATTTACATACAATTATAAATTCTTTAGTTTCATCATCTTAATTATTCATTCTTTTAAAATTCTTTTTGTAAAATTCAAGAGCATTATTTGATAATAATTTATCTCCATCTAAATCATTTTAATCATCCACATATTATGCTGAAAACATACTCCCTTATATTAATGCATAATCAGCTATATTCAATTTAGATGTATGTATATATATTTTTACATTATCATTTTTAGCTATTTCTATGTAATCATTTTAATTAAACTCTGCTATATCAGTTTTTAGTTTCAACAATTATCCTTTACCTGATGGAGTCACTTTCTTTTTTGAAAATTTAACTAATTTGAATATTGCTTAATGTAAAATTTTAGGATTTCTATTTTATTATTATTGATATTTACTAAAAATTATCAAATAAAATGATATCAATTGTTTAACTAGATGGATTAAATATAATTCCTAATATTTCCTGTTATTTATAAAATGATCCTATTATCCCTCCCAGTAATTCTATGTTACTTATTAATAAATTAAATCCATTGTCATTTTTTAACAAATAATTATTATTATTGTTTATTGACCAATCATTTAAAGACACAACAACTCCTGTTGTTAATTAAAATTCATTTCCATCAATTCTTACTACTCCTATTCCCAAAAGAGCATAAAATGCTTTTACATTTTACATTTTTGATGAAAAACAAATCTACAAATATCCTAAAATCTTATCATAATTTTCATTTTCTTCAATCATCAATTTAAATACTCTACCTTTTGCTGTTCTTACATATATCACTGACTTATATTATAAACTTTTTTATTACTTTCTAGTCATTAACCTATTAATAATTTTTTTTCTTTCTTAAAGATTGTTCGCATTTTTAGATATCAACTTCATCTCTAACAAAATCTCCTTTATTCAATGAATAATAATTATTATAACTGTTTGATTATTATGTTTTGTAACATAACAACCTCCCCTTTCTTAGATCAAAAGAAAAGAAATAATTATAAAGAGTTCCCCATTTTATATACTACACTGCACCCAATTTTCTATCTATTTTTATGGTCTTTCATTATTAAATTTATCATATTACTTAAGACTTTGGGAAGGGTGCCTATTTTATATCTTCATCATCTTCTAACTCATAAATAACACGGTTATTTTATTGCATTTATTATTATTTATATTTATAAAAGAGAAAATTATTTATTTATATCATTTAATTCATTCTTTTCATCAATAAAATTTAATTAATCATCAACTTCAATATCATTATTATTATAAAATTATGATTATTTATTCTTTTTTTCCGAAAATATTGTATTCTTAATTTTCTTATTCTATTCTTAATTTTTTAACCTCATTAAAAGACTTTTTTGGAAATTATAAGATCTTTTATAAAATTTTATTATTATAAATAAATAAACTCAAATTAATTAATGAAGTATGATTTTAATTTCCAAATCAATGAAAATCATATTGTTTATTAGAAATTATCTATTAAAATATTTCAAATTATATTCCACTATTATTGTTGAAAATTGGTTTCAAATATTATTTTTAAACTACTTATACTTTTTCCTCTGCATCAAATTTGATAGTCTTCTCTTTAGCCCATTAAAAATCTAAAATCATATTTGTTGAATGATCTTAATCATTCTATAATGATAATTGTTATTGTTGCTTAATCTCTTTCTCAATATTCTATTTCAATTATTATCTAGCCTTTTTTAATTAATCATTATGTTAAAGTCTTTGTTAATTCTTCATTCCATTATTATTATTATTCTTCTTATCATCTTCTTGATAATTTCTTTCCTACAGCATTGTTATAAGATGAAAACCATTAATCTTATGACATAATTAATTATTATTGTTGACTATTATTACATTCTCTTTTTAATTTAGATTATAAAAAATTTCCAAATATTATGAAAATTACATTTCATTTATTTAAGATGAAATTGGGAACCAAAATTAAATATTCTTTTAATAAATTCTTTTTTCTATTTTCTTCTTATTTAATAATTGTTCAAAATTATCATTATCAAATTCAGAATTACTTAAAATAATAAGTTTAGTATCCATCTACATAGGAAGTGAAATTATTTAATCAAGCTGACTAATTTTTTATGGATCTTAGTAATCCATTAAAAAAATGATTAAATATTGATTCTTAATAATAGAGATTATTTCATACCTCTTATGAAACTACTATTTTATCTAGTTTTTCTTGATACTACGAAGTTTCATCAACTGATGTTGAATTAATAAATGAAATTTGATAAACATCACAAATTGGTGAGTATTCTTCATAGATGCTCCACTTATCAAGTATAATTTGATTAATAATTTTATTTAAAATTTCTAAATCACATTTTCGAGTTAAACATTTTATTAATTATTTAGCCTAAAAGAATATGTATTATTTTTTTGGTTAAGAAAGGTTAGTGATTTTGTAATTATCATAAAACTTGATCATTTTCCATTTATATTTATAATTTTGACAATTCTAATTTTGAATATTAAATTGACTATTAATAATTTCATCTCCAAGACTCCATTATATATGTAAGATGGAATTGATAACAATATTAATTTGACTAACATCTTATTCTTTAAAGATTTATTGAAGTATTTGTAGAATTCTTTATTTATTGGCTATTTAAAATTTAGAGGATTATTTAACAATTAAAGTATCATATGAAGCTTTTTTGATTATGGTTAATATTTCTTAAGTTTTATTCTCAATTTAATTTGAATTTTATAATTTCAATTGTGAAGGCATATAAATTTTTGATTATAATTTCAAATCTTTATAAATTTTTTATGTTGACAATTTCAATTTGAAATACTGAGAGAATTACGAAGATTTCAATTACAATGCTTAAATAAGTTCTTTAATCATGATTTATTTGATTGATTTGTATGTGTATTAATCAATATGTTTTTTATCTTGTAAAGACTTTTAAGAATGGAATTAGGAATCTTTATTGTTAAATTGTTTAATGGATATTATCTTATAATTTTAGATATTAATGATAGATGTATTTGTGGAAATATGAGTTTGAGTAGAATTTAAAATATTGAAAACAAGTGTTCCGTCATCCCAGAATTATTCTTGATCTTCTTAATTTAAAAATTAAGTTAGCATTCTAGAATGAGAATCAGAGTTTTAATTTTTCTTTTATTTTTTAATGACTTTAGTATAAAGATTAATTATAGTATTATATCTTTCTTCTTTATCATCTAATCCAATAATCACAGAACAACTATATATTAAAAAAGGGTTAATACTTTTGAAATGAATTGGTTTCAATGAATAAATTAATATGTTAATTATCATTGTCGTCTTAACGAAAAACAAGTAAAAATATTTGATTGAGTTCTTTAATGAATTGCAAAAGAGGATACCCAATATCAATTGAATTAATGACAACAATAATTAAGTTAGGATCAATTTGAACTTTTTGGATTTAACTATTGTAAAATCTTAAATTTAATTATTTTGGAAAGAGATCACCAATTCTAAGAAGAGCTTGATATTTAAATCCTAGTTTATTGATAAGTGTATTTAGTTTGTAATCATGAAATCTTATTAAGAATTCTGAAGTTTTGATGTAAATTTCTCTAAGCTAATTGGTTAATACAGGCACCAGATAAATATTATTATGGAATGGTGAATGGATATCCTAATGAATGGAAGTTTGTAATTCTTTAAGATAGGGTCTATACATAGATATTGATATTAATACATGTATTTGATTTCAATATTTTTTGAAATAACAATTTAACTTTCTTGGAATCCTAGGAGTGTCAATTATTCAATTAGGAATGTTTGAAAATTGGATTTATTAGATTAATAAAATGGTTCAATAGGTCCCGAGATGTATCCTGAAGCATTCATGCATCCCATTAGTATTATATAATATAAATTATAAATTAATACTTATGTGAATAAATTTAAATATTATCTTTAAAAAAAATGAGTGGAAGTATGTATGATTTATCAGTGGCTACATATTCTTAGGAAGGACGTATATATTAGGTAGAATATGCAACAAAAGCAGTTGAAAATTCAGAGTAATAAAAATAAAAGTAATTAGGACTGTGATTGGAGTAAAATGTAAAGATGGTGTGATATTGGCAGGAGAGAAATAGAAGTTTTCTAGATTATTAGAAGACAATACAAATAAAAGAATATATAATATTGATAATTAAACTGGAATGGCACTATGTGGTAAATTACCAGATGGAAGAAACATTTTATAGAGAGCAAAAGCAGAAGCATCTTAATATTAAGATATGTATGCAATTCCAGCATCAGCTAATGTTTTATCTGATAGAGTATCATAATATGTACATGCATATACTATGTATTCTGGAGTAAGACCATTTGGATCAGCAAGTATACATTATTCTTATTATTTATAGCATTCATTGCCAGTTATAATACTTTTGATGGTTATGAGTTGTATATGATTGAACCATCTGGGAACAAATATGCTTATCATGCATGTGCACATGGAAAAGGTAGAGCTATTTGTAAATCGGAATTTGAGAGAAGAAATTTTAAAGATCTTACATGTTAAGATGCCTTAGTTTATGTTGCTAAAATGTATATATATTTATGTAGTATTATCAGGTTAATATTATCACATGAAGAATTCAAAGAAAAGAAATTTGAATATGAAATCACATGGATTAATGATAACAATGGTCGTAAACATTAAACCGTCCCTCAAGATTTCATTAATAATGCTGTACAATAAGCTGAATAATTAATTGAATAAGATTAAATTGGAGAATGATCATATCTACATAAAAAAAGCATATATGATATTCATATATACAACAATTCTATTCCACTTCATTATTACTTCTTATTACTCTCAATCTACTTTTTCATTCTTAATAATTATCTATTTATATATCTACTTATTGTTATTAACTAAATATAGGTGGAAATTTAATATCTCGCTAATCATTCCAATATATCCACTATTTAATATAGCAATCATTTTTTATTATTATTAATCTATAAATTCACAATTTTTCAGATCTAATCTACATAAGTCATACTACCTTGCAAATGATAATGTTCTAACATTTAATTATTCAATTTAAAAACACTCTTTAAAAAATTATTTATATAAATGATTAGGTAACTGATATTTTATTAAATTTTCAAGCATTAATTTGGTTATTTAAGTAATTGTTCGAATATTTCAATATTTTCATCAAATAAAGTAATTTATGGATCACAATTACATTATTATAAACTGAAAATTAGATGTGCACAGAATAAAATAATGAAAAACTCCTTTATATATTTAGAACTGCATAGACTAATTGTCATGAGTTTAAGTTACTTTTTTTTATTTATTAAAAATTAAAGCATTTTGCTATTTTGAAAAGCATAATTAATTGTTTTTATCTTATTATTATTATAATTGTAAATTTCAATGTTAAAATAATAATGAAAAATATCAGAATAAAATAATATACTTTTGTTTTTTCAAAATGAAAAATTATATTTTATTTAATATGAAATTTTCATTCTTGAGACATAACTTAGTTGAGCTTATTGGAAAAGTAGAGCAATTAGATTCTCCAAGCTCTATTATTAAGAAATTTGGACCATTTCTAATGAGTAGTTTGTTTAATCAAAAACTCTAAGAGAGTCAAGAAGTCATTAATTACATGGAGAAAAATATTGAAAAAAGTGAATTCATTCGAAATATTACTCATGATCCTAATTCTAAAAATTGGAGAACTAATTATAGAAAATCAATTGAAAGTTTAGCATGTTCAATCATAGTTGATAATCCAAATCTCATGGATAAGCATTTTACAACAACAATGAAAGAAGAATAAATTACTTTAGCAGAAGTTCTACCTTTAGCATATACTTTGGTTATATAAAAATAAAAAAAGTGGAATATCACGAATGAATAAGAAATTTTATAAAGGCTAAACTAATTACTCGTTAGCTAAAAACAGGAGCAATAAAAAATGAATATCAACATTCTTTATTAAAAATATTTCCTATCTGATCTTGGATTATATTATCCAGATTTGTTAAATTTTTCATAAGGTAAGATCTTTTGTACAGAATTGCCTTTGGATTATTTTATAGGAGAATTGAATATCTAATATAAAGATTTTTTTATTGAAGATAATAATTTAGTTGATTTAAAGATTGGTGATTCAGCTTATGTATTCATGTATCCAGATGAATTTGAAAATTAAACTATCAAAGCTTTTCTGTTAAAATATGTGAGAATCAAGAGATTGCAACAGTTGTTCTCTAATGTTCATGTTGTTTGGTGTTATAGAGGAATGAAAAAAAAAGAGTTACTTGAGGCTCTAGGTATCTGAGATCTGTTTTATCATATATAATAATAATCAAGAAAAAATAATATTATTTCAAAAAAAATAATGAATTGTAGTAAATTTGTTGTGAACTTAGTTTTCTTCAATTAAATTACATTTATAATATCCAATAAAAATATGTTGTGTATAAAATAATTGAAATAGTAACGAGAAATTTAATATTATAAATAAATGTTTATGTGAATCGAATTAATATTTTTTATTTTATAAATTTTTAGAGAAAGAAAGATGAAAAAATTAATTGCTGCTTCCTTATCATTTGTATCCGTGATAACAATAGGCATGGTTTTTAAATCCCCTTACTGAGCAGTATTTATTGAAATTTATTTATGATTATTAATAAATTTACAAAAAACTTATAATTATCTACTAAATTCTAATTGAATATAACCAATCAAGAAAAGATGATTCCTTTTTTGATATTAAATTGATGTTTTATTCAAACTCTATATAACCACATTTAATTTTTAAATTAGAATAAATATATAATATTTAATATAATTTTTATATTAATATATATTTATATAATTTGTAAGAATTGATAAATAATTCAAACAAAATGTAAATTTTATTCTTGTACTCCTAAATCTTTTAAAATGTTGGGTATTGTCTTATTCATAGAGGGAGGTCCACAAATATAGAATTTATGATATTATGAAATAAATCCAATATGTTTTTAGAAAAAGACCTTATTAAATCTTTCATTTACACAACATACGTCATCTGTCCATTCTTTAATTTTGAGTATCATCTTAAAACATTATTATGATAATAGTTTTTATAAGTGTATTAATGGAAAATAAATATTAGAACCTATTAATTCTGATTTATTGTTAGCTGCTAATACAAGTGTAATATGCAAATTAGTATGGAATTCAGATTCATATGGATTGAGTTTATTCGCAAGATCCTTTCCAAGTCTTTTTTCGACTATTTAATAAATTACAGATTATAAAAGAAAATCTAATAAATCTAAAAATGGTAAGATTCCTGTTCCTCCACATATTATTACAATTTTGCCTTATTTTGGTAAACATAATGAAGGTCCAAATGGACCTGTAATTTCATATTATTCATACTAATTTTAATGAATATATTATGAAAATCCATTTTTGGAATCATATTTTTTGATTATTAAAGGTAATTCATTTAAATACTTTGGTTATTATTAAATATATTCCAAACCTTCTTTAGTATATAATTGGGTATCTATGAAATTTATTAATTATTTTCTATATTAAATATTTTCAGGAGCCATACTCATAATACAAGTGTATTATCTTATATGTATTAGAGAGTTGGATTATACTTTTAATTGATAATACCTTCCAAATTAATTATAATTTGTTAATTATGATGAAATTTTTCTAAACTCATTATCAAAACCAAAATAACTAATTTTTTATGATATTTAATTAATTGTAATTAGTTTCCATAAATTTGTATTATATTATAAAACGCTGTTATTTTATATAACAAAATTGATGTTATTAATTCTTCCAATGGTATTCTATTTGATCATTTAAATGGCTTTTACTGAATGTTTATATACTGGACAACTTCCATCTTCTAAACCTTGACCTCCATATATAAATCTAGAAATTTCTCTTCCTTTTGTTTTTTCCCATATATATTATCCACCTGGATGAATAAACCCTGTAAGATTAACAATATCATTATTAAATATAAACCACATTTAATCTTTATAATCATTCTAAATACTTTAAAGATCTAAAAATAAAATATAGATATTACCATTTTATATAAGATGTTATACAAATAAAGCATCTTGAATAGTTTTAGGTTAACAACATTACTTATCTTAAATTCGAAAGATAAAAGAAAAGAGTGTTCCATTTTAATAGAAGAATTCTAGAAAAACTCTCCAAAAGAATACTAAGATATAAGTAATCCAAAATCCAATCAAATTCCATTTTCCATCTTAAACAAAGTGACTATATACTTCATAGAATCCAAGTCCACATTCCACTTTACCAATCAAATACATTAAATAACCTAAATAGATATGAAATAATTATTAAATCTTAATTGTTCTCTAAGTTTTCTTGTTTTCAATACAAAATTTTAATATTAACCCTCCAATACTTTATAAACCCATTAGACCTAGAAATGCAAATCCAATAGGTGCATGCCAATAAGCTAGATTCTCTTTTCCATGGAATTATGGTGGATTCCAAATCAAACTCATTAAAATATCAGCAATCATTGTTGGCAATACACACATACCCATTATGATACTATGTAAATTTAATCTTTATTTTAAGAATATTCCATATCGATTAGCTAACAAACCTATATCAACTAAGATTCCCCAAACTATGAAATTACTCCATTTATGAAAGTAAAATACTCTGTGTCTATCTTCATTTACTTCTGCTAGTATCATTTCGTAATCTAATACAATCTAAATATAATCTTACTCTATTCTACTTCTTTTTAATTATAATCTAAAAATGATCTATTAGATTAACTTTCATTTTGTTCTTGTGTCATTGCAAGACATGCAAAAGATATAACACAAATTATTCTATTCATATATTTAGATATTTATATTATCTTTTAACCATAAAATACTTACCAGAATTAAATACCACAATTTGATTATGTCATTTTAATAATCATACTTATTAGATTGATTACTAATTCCTTGGGTAAATTAATTATAATTTAAGATTTTATAATTTATAATAAATTCTCCAAATATTTAATCAATATAAACAAGACTTTTTATATTCTTATATCACTTTTCAGAAAAACAACTTATTTTCTACATCTTAAACTATTCAATCTATAATATATACTTAATTCTTATCTCAATCATGTATTTTTTATCAAATTTTCAAAACTTTCAATTTCTATTAATCTAAATTAATTGTAAGTAAAATCTTTAACTTTTGCATTTTGATTCTTAAATTTCAAAATAATTACACGAATTTAAAGCTATTGCCATTTTTACATTATCCTAAATGATAGTGGCTGTTATGTCTGTTTCACTAAGAATAAACTATTAATATTCTTAAATTACAACTTGGATAGTAAATACTATATTAATTCAAAAATAAAACTGATTTCAAGAGATTTTAATGGTTTTCTATAAAAAAAGGTTTAGTTGCAGATATTTTGCAATTGCAGATTTCTCATTTGATTAAAAAGCTCTTAATTCTAATTTATTACAAACACACAAAAATTGAGACGTATAATTTTATTTAGTTATTAAATTACAATTAATATTCAATATAGATAATATAAAAAATGTAAATTAAAAAAATATCATAATTTATATTATTAATCTAATTGATTGAATCATACATTTAAAAAAAATCTATTTAGAATTTTTTATAATATTTATAATTTTAGAGTTATTATAATTGTTCTAAGATTGACATCTGTTTCAAATAAATGATTTAAATAGGAATCAATAGAAATGACTTAATATAATATTAAATTTATAATATGAAACATCTTAAATTATCAATTCCATGCATGAATTAATCTTTTCTATACAAAGGAAACTTTTCAGATATTAATTATCAATAGCTTATACAATTTACCGAAAACAAACTAGGTAAATAGTTAACATAAGAACTTTACTTTGTATATGTGAATACAGAAGGTGATAGTTTTGTAATTGATAATGATCAAAAATTAAACAATTTAAAAAAGATTAATTCTTAAGTTATAAAGATTAGTCTTAAAGAATTCGAAAAACAATAAGTGCTTCATCCAAATACAGTATGTTCTGTTTGCTAATAATCTCCAATTATAAATATTAGATTCAGATGTGTTGTCTGTGAAGATGTTGATTTATGTTAGAATTGCAGCATTGAACATAGTAAACTACATCCATTAATAATGATTTCTAAACCAGAATAAGTGTAGTACTTAGAAAATTTTTTTAAAAAAAATATAATGAAAGTGAAGCGTATTTTAAATAGTTCTATCAATAAATCAAAAAGCACAATTATAGCTCTAAAAGATGTTTTTATGAAAAAAAAATAAGATTATTTTGGAAATGTATAATAATAACAATAATAATAATAATAATAACAATAACAATAAAGTTAAATAAAGAAGCCTCCAAGTTTGGAAGATGAAGATATTTTAAACAAAACTTTAAGATTATCAGAAATATTTGAAGGATCACCCAGAAATTATGAGAAATTTGTTTAAAAGAACAAGGAATTAACATTTGAAGAATTAGTTGAAATAGCATCAGAAAAATTTGCATGAAATTTATATACAAATATAAATGTTCTAAATAGTATAATTTTTGTCATCTCTTATGTATTTAAGCTGACATTAGTCCAGTTGTTGTTTAATACATCTAAACTTAATTGTTAATAATTACATTTTAATATTATTTTTAATCAGTTGCCCAAGGTGCTTGAGCTTTGCTTTTTTAATATTATAAATATTATTATTTTGATTCCAAAGACATTTATTGCATCATCTAATCTAATTATTCCATCTTTAAAGGTGTTTATTATGGTTAAACTCTTTGTTATTGAGTTTACTAATTAACTAATTAAGGGTTTTACTGTTATTAATGGATTTATTGTGTAATTTACTCTTATTAAACATTTGTCTATTTATAATCAAAATATTGTGAATAGATAACATAATTATTATTTTGAGGGATATAAGTTTATAAATTGTAGTACTTCTTCAAAAAACCCAATAATTTTGGAGATGGTCGATCATAAGCTAATTTTTCAGGTTTTAATATTTCAATTCTTAGCATTTCTTCGAAAAGATCTTTACCTATGCCTTTTCTTTGAACTGATTCATGTACATAAAAATCTAGAACACATAATGGTTAAATCTCTTTAATAATTCCATTTAAATCTCTATGAAATAAGTTTTTTCTTCCTATTTTTAGAATTCCTAAACAATTCTAGATATATATATTTAATTACTTTTCCTTCTATTTTAATATACATCTTTTAATCAGTCTAAAAGAATCTCATTGGACTTGTTATCACTTATTTTAAATTTTATGCCTAATTTAAATAGTAGTTGATTACCAATGCAGAAGATTCACCCATAATTGTAATAACATCATCAAGTTAAGGATTACGCTTTTAGTTCCCATTTATAATAGCTATTCCATTTTCATTAACTGTCATGTATTTTGATAAGTAAAAGTTGAATTGCATTTAACTAATATTATAAATTTATATATAGTCATTCATTCTATAATTCAGATCTTTCTTATTATTCTTTTATTCTATCTATCTAATACAATTTTCTTTTGAGCATAATACATTAATGTTACAATTCCTCTCTTTCTCTCAAAATCTCTAAAATTAAATTAGTAGGTATTCTTAATAAATGTGCACCACTATTTTCTATCAATAGATTAAAGCATTCTTCAAATGTATTTATCATCTATACTATTGAAGAATGATGGTATAATACAAAGATTCTTTAGTAATCAGTTTCTTTAATAATTTAACTATCCTTCTTTCTATAAGAATAACTTATATCATATTTATTTTAGACTGAATTTTAAGTAAAATCAAATTGATTTTTTACTTAACTTCCTTTTGTTTAAGTAGAATGTCCATCTGAACTTAATTTTTAATGTTGAGACTTTTTAATTGGGGTTTCCAATTCTGGTTTATGTAATGGTTAAATTTAAGATTCTACATGTAATGCTATTGGCTTTGTCAATTATTTTATGTTTTAGATTGACTATTATAATTTAGACTAACAGATTGAAGATTTGATTTAGGATTAAACTTCAAAGTTTTTTAGTATCACTATATCCGATTTATTTCTTTCTTTAACTAGACTATCCATTTTTAGTAAAAAGTTATTGAATTAATTTTTTAATTTTTATTATCAAAATTGATCAGATATATATATGTTTATATAATAATGAAACAAATACAAATATTACAGAAATTAAAAAAAATGAATTGTTCAGTTTGTTTGAGTGAAGATTGTTAACTATTTACAAGTAAAAATTGTAAATGTTTATTCTGTTATGATTGTGTTCTTAATTGGATTGAAGAGAAAATCAATTTAAAATAGAAAGTAGATTCAATATCTTGTTTAAACTATAAATGCAAATAAATAATTACACTTGAAAACTTTCAAAAATCAATAACAAATAAACAAATAGATGAAAAGTATATGGAAATAATGTTAAAGAATTATTTTCAACAAACTCAAGACATTAGAGCTTGTCCAAATAATAAATGCAATTATTATGCATTTCTTCCAAAGAATAGATGTAATAAAGAATTCTCTTGTCATCAATGCAGTAAATAAATAGTTGATATACTTAGATTTTATTTGGCTTGATAAACAATATTTGTCATATGATAAATTATTTTTATTAAAAATCAAAGATACTAAGAGTGATATATTATCTTCTGTGTTTGAATTCATATCAACTTAAGAATGTCCAAAATGTGATTCTAAAATATTGAAAAATGGAGGATGTAGTCATATGACGTGTAAAAAATGTAATTTTTATTATTGTTGGAGATGTAATAATTAATTAAATGATAAAGTCCATAATGACTTTATTTGCTTTATTAGAATATTAGTCTACATCTCATTGATCTTTTTCAATATTGCTAATACATTTAATAACTTAGGCTGGCTGTAATACTTCTTAATGCTATTTTTCTATCCTTTATATGGATTGGGTCTCTCTTTGCTTTATAATTCCTATATTTTATCACCTGTTGCTCTTATAGCTACTTTAGTATATACTTTCAAACAATTACCAAAAAATAGTGTTATTAGAAAAAAGAGATTCATCAAATCATAAATTATTTCCTTAATTGTCTAAACAATTATAATGATATTACTAGCCATAACTACTTATTATAATCTTTTCAATATTACACTATATCAAGCCTTAAGCTACCATTACTATTAATTTATTATTCTTTTCTCAGGGGGATCTATTGTGATAGTCATATTACTGTTTAACAATTTTTTCTATTAAAATTGGCTCAAATTCTTGATTTGAATTTATCAATGTGTATTTATAAAAATGCGATTTAAGTTTTTTTTCTAACTATTTTTCCCCATTAAATAAAGATTTTATATTTTGAATGTCTTTAATGCAAATTTGCAATTTCAATTCTGATTGTAATTCCAAGTAGATTTATTTCACTTCAAAACATATTTATATTATTAATTGATTTCCTACAAAGTATTAACTAACTTCATGTAATGAATATTTAATTAGTATAAATTTGGTTTTAAAAGTAAAAAAAAATAATATCAGTAATCATAAATAAATTTGATATGAAAGCAATTAGAAAAGTAAGGCCATCCTTTGGATCATTTTCAGAAATTTAGATAAATGCTTCATGTACTTTCACGCCAAAATTGACTAAATCTCAAACATTTATCTAAATTAAGAGTAAATGTGCTTCCTCTGGTAGCAAAAATTCTGCATCCACTAAATTAAATTCACCTTACTAACCTCATCACAAGAGTTAATTCTCTGTTAGAACTCATTCTGATCCTTAAGACATTCATTTTATACTAAATGAATGCATATAAATTTTCAAAGAGATTTAACAGAATTCTTTAAATAACTAAAATGAAGTTGTTTTACTTGATGTCAGAGATAAGATGCACAATATTGAAAACATAATTTAAGAAATTTTACATCATCAAAATACTAAAAATTCAAATTAAAACAAGATCTCCTAATTAATGTTATAAATTATTGAGGAAAAAAAGCAAAAATAATAAGCTATTCAATCAGGAGAAAATCTTATTAAATAATAAGCAAATCAAATTCAATAATTGGTATTATTATTATATAAAATTAGAATCAAAGAATTTCTCTTTATTAATAATGATTTATTATTGTTTATTTACATTGTAAAATTTTATTATATATTTCTTTAGTATTTATATATTATCATTCCAATTAAATCATTCTTATCTCAAATCATAATTATAACCAATACATTAAAAAAAAATCACTAAATAATTAAAATTATATATATTAAAATTAATAACAAAAATAAATATTCAAACTTTAATTATTATCACAAATATTTACTTATTTTAAAATTCTAGGAAAATTCATTATTTTAAAATAGCATTATTTTATTAATAATTTTGCTAATATTATTTTATTATGTTTTTATATAGATAAAAAGTTAAATAGAACAAATTATTATGATTACTTTAAATCCATTAAGTGCAAATATGAATGTATTAAAAAGTTTTTTTTGATATAGAATATTCTAGTTCATTAGAAGAATACTACTTTTAAAATAATCTACTTAATTTTGAGATATAGAGACTTAATGGGGATTTAAAATTTTTCAACTGAAAGAATTTTTTCAAGTTATATGCATTATAAATACTGTCTGAAGTTGATTTGAACTTTTGTTAACTTCAAAATAACTTGAATCTTTGTCGTAAATTACTCATTCATCTTATTTCAAAACTTTATATAGAGACTTTTGCAGATTATTCTTTCAATATCTGAAATCTTTTATTGATTTTTAAATTAATATATTAAAAAATATTTGACTTTCTTTTAACCTATTTTTTTAATAATATTTAATCATGAATACAATAATATTATAAACATATCTAATGTAAAATTCAATTAATTTTTCTATTAACAAATGTTATAAATTTTTATTAGTTCACATTATTTTTAATAAATATTTTGTATCTTTATATATATTTAAATATCTAAATTTTTATTAAAATCTTGACTGGTAAAATAATCGTACTAAAGTTTTACCACAGATACAATAGATTAGGGAATTCTAAAGATTAATAAAGGTTGATTTTTGAAGAACATCAATTAGAAGATAATAATATAAATTTAGAATTTGTTATATTGCATAAATCCATCAATTATGGAAGGTAGATTGATGAACAACTGAAAACCATTACCTGAAAACTATAAAAGTTAATGTACAACCTTCAGACACTATCTAGATAATCAAGAGCAAAATAGAAAACACTAATGATATCCCTTCAAATTAATAAAATTTATATTTGCAGGAAAATCATTATATGATGATAGAACTATTTCAGAATATAATATTTAACATGACCAACTCTTTATTAATTATAGAAAATAGAGAATAAACATTATTTAAAAATTCAAATTAGAACATATAATAAAGTAAACCAAATCTCTATGAATTTTGTTTTTTTTCAAATATTTATATATTTAGCATTAATTCAATCTTATATAAAAATATTTTCGATTAGTAAAATATAACAATAAAAAAGTGTTTCTTACATCATTTCATCATTCATCAAAAAGAAGCTATTGATTCTTTTCATTTCATACTTTAAAATTTTAAATAAATGAGAGAGTTACTTTTTTTTGTAGTATTTTATTTAAAGTAATGAATATGTTTTATTCAAAAAGGTGAAAAAATATAATTATTTTTTCGATAATTAATCAATAACTTAATTAATTCAAATTTTTCAAAAAATAGTGAAAAAACTAATTCATTTATAGTTTTCTAAAAATTTTTATTTAATTTTCATTCCTGTTATCTAAAAATTTTCAGATTTCTTTTGAAGTTTCAAATCTTAAAAATTTCTTAATTTTTTTTTTGTTAAGATAATTTAATTTTTCCATAATTCATAAGTATTGATACCATTTTTATATTTTATAAGTATTTTAAATACATACTCTGTGTTTTATCTCTAATTTAAAATATTTTCTTTTTAATTAAATTTATCATCAATTTGAATATTTTACATTTTTGTTTTCCTTAATTAATTCTTCAAACAATTTTATATTTTTAATTGTTTCTAATATCATTGTTCTTGTATGAATTGAGTATTGTAATGAGAGCTAATAAAATTGTTTTGAAACTTTGAAATTAACAATTTTGCTTTGTTTAAAATTCATTTATAAACTAATTACAAATTATATTATTTAAAATCTGGATAAATAGTATTAAGTAGTAAGTAATCATTATTTTGCTCATTTTCTTAATAACTTAAAATGAATATTACTTCTTCCTTTTTTTATTTGGAAAATGTTTTTTTCTTTAGAGATATGATTAGATCTTTTTTTGATTTTGTAAATAATTAAAATAGATTTCCAAAAGAAGTATAACATAATTTCATTATGTTATAATAATTATAAGTATGTTTAATTTGAACAAAACAATTTAGTGATGTATATAAATAGGTTTTGTTTCATCACATAAAGTTTGTTAATGAATTTAATATTAATGTTTGATGTTGTTTAAGTTATTGGAGAATTTAAAATTGAATTTATTCTTGAATCTAAATGAAAGTGTATTGATTAGTTCTTTATAATACATATAAAATAATCAAAAATGGGTTGCACTAGTGGAAAAATAAATGAGCCTTTAAGTTTAAGACTTCGAGAGAAAGCAAGTGAAATATTTAAGAAATTAGACATAAAAGGGAATGGAACAATAGATAAGGAAGGAACTGAACAATTTTGGTAAGAATTTAAATAAGAAATATAAGGAAGTCAAACTTTGCGAAATTAAACAGTGAAGCTTTATTTGAAGCAGTAGATTTTGATAAGAGCGGTGATATAACAGAGGAAGAGTGGATGGCATTTTGGGAAATAGTAAAAGAGAATGGATACTCAGAAGAAGAAATAAATATAGAAGTATGTATTAATTATGATAAAAAAAGTTAGATGAGCTGATGGAAGGAAAGGCTTGGGTATAATTCAAAAGAGTAGATAGATTTATTAAGATAGATGAAAAGAGAAGAGGATCTAGAGTTAAATCAATTGTGTAGGAAGAAAAGAAGAAACTTTCTATCATCTAACCAACACGATTATAAAAGAGTAAGACAATGTAAAGTGAAGGGCATGATCTTTAGCAAGAAAACTAACAACAATCTTGATTATATTTATAATTATTTTATATATCATAGTTATATAAAAATTCAAATGTTCCACAAACGACAGGTTTGTTATTGTAATCTATTTAAACGTGTACCAATTTAATTGTGATCTATTTCATTTAATTTACTACATCTTTTTTATTTACTAGTAATATTGTATAAAAAATTACTTTTAATCTAATTGTATTTGGGTTATCAGGCTACTATGATAATTATATTAAATTTTTAAAACAGATTTAGATTAAATTATATGAGCTTATTGAATCAATAAAGAAATTAATTTAATCATTTATTAGTTATGAAATATGATGGCATTGAAGTGATTGAATCAAACAATTATATTCAAATTAATATGAATTTAAATAAAATATTGATAAAAAGATCATGTAATTAATATATCTAATAAAATTGGTTAAGAAATTAGCAATATTTATTATGATCTGTAGGAATAAATTAAGGAATACTATCGATCGATTGCGGGAAAGTGTGTATATTGACAATAGAATTGAGGGGATTAGATAATTCTAAAATTTAATAATAAATGCTTGAAACAAATATATATATATACTAAACTAAATATGAATTTATAATAATAAGAAAGATAAAGAGAGTAGCAGATAATTTAAGTTAAATATCTCAATTGAGTACTCGAGCACCTACCTACAGTAATAAATAAATAATAGGAATCTTTACCATTTATTTCATATACAAAAGAAAATGTTGATAGATAATAAAAATAATAAGAAGAAAATGAAACAAAATGAAACAAAATAAAGATTGATGGCAGAAGCCCGTAAATTGATGGTACCAACGAAAATAAAATCATAATTAAGATAATTAGGAATAAGCAGTAACTTATTTTGGTTAAAATGCAGCAGATAGAAGATAGCGATAAAATAATCATGACATGGG